TAATCGCCACGCATAGAGAGGTACCGTCCGTGACATCACTGAGGCCGGCTAGATCAGGCATGATCACAGTCGTAACAACTACAAGTAAGTCGCAACTCAAAAGCTCCATTTTGGACAAGACTCTTAAGTTTGCATGTAGGTGTCAAACGGATGAATACAAAAAGCGCAAGAACTCACGCATATTTATGTCTACAGAAGTAACCGGTAATTGGATGAGGCAGATGGACAAACGGCCAACCCCCGAAATCAAGGAAAAGTCATGCACCAGGTTGTGACACCGTATAACTAGAAGCCCACCTTGCCGACTCCTGGACCTTGGGATGCCTGCTCATCCCTAGGTAGTCATTAGAACACCAGACGGTGATTCGGCGACGTTCATCATTGGAGAACTCATCAGCGAATGGGTATTCGTTCGCATCCCGTAGGATGCGCCTAAAGACCCGATACGTTGAGGTTGACCTCTTTTTGTCAATTTGATCCGCAAAGAACTCATCAAAGTCGAAGAACTTCCGCTTGCTCCCTGGTGTCTTATGAACTGACGTAGCAGCAGAAGGAGACGAAACAGCGTTGGCGTAAATCGGTCTCGGGGCGTCGTGATTGGAGCAGGGGAAGAGGGCGCATGTGGTGGGAATCTTGGAGGCGCCTAAATTTAATTTTAAAAACTGTACGGTAAATAAGCGGAGAGGGCTTGAGAACTTAACAGAGAGCAATAATCCAGCCAAGAAAAGCGGATCTGTGCGTTGTGCTAGTTGTGACCACAACTCACCATCTTCTGAACGATAAAAGACATAAAATAAGTAGATTACACTTGCTAGTTTATAAAAAACCAATGCATATGAAATTGATTACGGTGAGGGGTATATGCCTTACATCTACCTTAGCCTCTTTCACAACAGTGTGACCTTGGGTACAACCGTGTGTCTCACAGGAGGGCGGGCGTAGGGATAGTGACTCTCTCCTCCTTGCCAGGTCAGGTGCCGCTCTCGATAAACCCACGTGACAAGAATTAAAGCTCCAGTTTTGTCACAGCTCCATAGACCAAAAGTCTGCACTTGTTTCTATTGCCAGCTGTTTAGAATTCTCGAAATAGAAATCGATCACAGATATTTCAGTCGCCCGACTGGTAGCCATCGCCATCGCTAGGCCGCTAATGCAGGCTAGGAGGAGGACAAAGTAAGTTAGACGCTGAGGGGTGAAATTCATTCTCATAGGAAATCCGTGCACTCTTTACAATGATCAAACTGGCGACCTTGCAACTAACAAGACGTGATAAGAGTCATGGGTCGGAAGGTAATCTAGTTTTACTCAGGGTTGAGTAGAGCTGCAACCTTACCTTCAAGTAATTTTCTCTCGCATGAGTTCCAGGAATCCCTCTAAATAAGGCTACGCGCATCAGATAGTGTTACACGCCTATAGAGAGACTGTTGAGCTTCGTCAGCCAATAAGCCGACGCTCCCCTCCCCGCCCCATTTGTCCGCCTTGACTTGTTGTTACCATTGGAAGACGGTGAGACGAGAGGGTGAGTTGGACACAATGAAAGTCTGCTTTTGTGTCACTGCGAGGTTCAGTTCGTGGATGCGGTGATGAACTTTGTCGGTTATTTGGACGTAATTGTTTTGCTTATGTAAGTGAATCAAACATCAGGGCGCTAAATACCCGATCAACCGCTCCCCATTTCCAGTCGTATGGGGTTGATGTTGCACGCCACCAAAGGTTGACACAGAAATAGCATCAAACGGGCTCGGTAAAGGAGCAGGTAATCAGATACTAGATCTATCTGTGAAAAACTCGGCGGCCTCTGTGAGATTCGAACCCACTCCAGGCTTTAGTACAGCCAACGGCGGATTCAAATGAGCTACGAGGCCCCCACCGCGAACCGTGAGTTAAATCACACTTGAGTCAAATTACTCACTTCGCCTACTGCGTGGCGTGTGGAATCAACCAAGAATTCACCAGAGAACCACCAGCTGGCTAGAACGTTGGCTGTACAGAAGCCTTCGCCTTGCTGACGTGGGTTCGAATCCCCTCCTAATAAAAAAAACTAGATCGTTGGGGGTAGCGTAAAGGTCAGTCACAGCAGGCCGGGCTCTGCCAGAAGCAGTTTAAAAGCACCTTACCGAGTTCAGTCTGCACAGGCAGCTGCCGGCTCGCATCCAGGGACTTGAGTGAGGCACAACGCTCCATTTCTGCGTAGGGGCATTTTTTCAGGATGCAGTCCG